ATAGCATAGGTTTTTATATTTGGTTTTTGCTGCTTAAAATAAAAAGCTGCTGTGAATGAACACTATTTTTAATTGTCTAGGCTAATAATTAATAAGTAGGTTAATTTTTGCACAGTTTTTCAAATAGAAGCAAAATTTAAATTAGCCTAACTAAATACGCTCTGAATTGCACTGTATCGTATCGAGGTACAGTATTTAATCTAGGTATCTAATTGTGTGAGAGGAGAGATACACATTTTTCTTGGGTATATCTTTTTTGGGCACATTAGTGTGGCCTGAATGAATGTGCTCACGAGGTACAGCTGATGCCATGTTTATGCTGATTACACAGTACAGTGCAATTCTGAGCTGAAATGGCAATGGTGATAACACCTGCTAATTCCACCTTTTATCACAATTGCAGGTGCATTGCATTTTTCCTGATGAACATGTAGGTTAGGAAACATGAGAACAGGTACCACAATATATCTGAACAGCCACACCTCTTAATCTTAAATCCACAACTGACCTGCTGGAATTTAGTGAAACAATTATTATGAAATTATCAGAATTATGAAACTGATTCATCAATAGTAAAAATAATCATTCATTTGTCCCCTATTTTGCATTTCATCCAAAATATCACCCCCTCAATTGAAATGACACATCTTCTGATGCACAGCTAGGGCACATCATCAGTAATGTTACCTGAGGTCATCACATGTTTTGGGTCTTTCAAACATCAGACATCCTCGCTCAGATGACCCAGCTGAGGTTGATCAAGCCTCAGCTTGCGCCCTAGCAGCACTCAAGCACGGATCCACCCTCTTTATCCAGAGCCATCTAGAGGCTCTCTGCTGCCTCTGTGCTGCAATAGATGGCACTACTTCTCCTCTCGCCTGTAATGCCGAGTGCAGCATAGGCTCTACAGAGAGATTGTCCTGCAAAACCCCTGCACCCAACCCCTACAGGCAAGCACTTTCTCTTCCAACCTTATCTATGGCAGTCGTTGGCTAGACTGTCATATTTCTCCCTGTTCCAAAAGCCTCCTCCATCCACTCTTCCCATGGCACTATAAGTTCCAGCATTACTACGTTCTTTGTTGCCTCAGACACCAGCACAATGTCAGGCCTAAGAGAGGTCTTAACAACATTCTGAGGGAACTTGAGTTGTCTGCCGAAATCCATTAACAACTGCCAATCCTGAGCTGTGTTGAGAAGCCCTGATGTTTTCCTTGATGTTGTTTTTGTCTCTTCTCCTGCTTTAATGAAGCTGATGATTTGCTTCATGGGTTTAGACCTCCGACAGCTGGCACTACCGATGCTCTCTATGATAGTCTTAATCACCTGGTCATGACACCAGTGATATCGGCCTTTCCCCAGAGCCCTTGGGCAACAACTTAAAATGTGCTCAAGGGTCCGCTTCTTCTGACAGAGGGGACATGCTGGAATATCGATCAAGCCCCAGTGGCGCAGATTAGATGGACTGGGAAGAACATCATAGACAGCCTGAATCAAGAACTTGATGCAGTCTGGCTCTGCCCACCAGAAGTCAGCCCATAAGATTTTCCTCTCCATATCTTGCTCCCATCTAGTCCAGGCTCCTTGCTGTCTCATTCCCACTGCTCTGCTGGCCCTCTCTTCCTCAACAACTGCTCACATTTCCTTCTGGACTAGTTGCCTCCGCTCTTTACCCCAAGTCTTGTCAAAATGGGGGTTGCAATAGATCCTTTGGCCACTGTTCCCACCAGGACTCCATGGTGTATCTGTGACTCTGCTTGCTCCACTGGACGCTCTGCTCTCCACTTCCTACTGGTATTCATTGTTATTCCTGCCCCAGAGACTTTTGGGTCCCTTGACACTTGGAGTTGAAGCTTCTCCCTTAGCCGCAGAGCCTTAAACTCCTCCTCAATAGATTTCAAGGGGAGCGTTAGTTTGCAGGTACTTCCGTAAAGGGTGATGTCACTCAAACTCCTTGGCAACCTTAACCATCTGCTCAGGAAGCAACTGTCTCATCTTTCAACATCTAATATGGTGGAGATCAGGAAATCATAGAGAAGCAGTGGCCATAATATCCTTGGCAAAATCCCATGCTGGTAAATCCATGCCTTAAACTTTCCTGGAAGGCCCGACCTGTCAACATCCTTTAACTATCCCTCTAGTTCCTCACAGGTGTTTTTAATGAAGGCTGTATCCCTGAGACTGCTGTCAAAGAACTTCCCCAAGCTCTTCACTGGCTTCTTAGAGATAGTAGGGATTGGTATTTCTGAGATAGAGAAGCGGAACCTATCTACAACTCTTCCCTTTTACAAGACCAAGGATCTTGATTGTGTTGACTTAAACGACATCCTGGCCCATCTCATCACCCTTTCCAGCCCAGGATCCATCTGCATGTAACCCAGGTTATGTTTTGAAGCTCAGATTTACAGAGTGGCCTAGAACGCCTCATTAGCAAGTTAGCTAACGAGGAGAGCTCACGGAAGTCTTGAGTTTTTTTCTCGCACATGGCTGAGCTGACATGCACCTTCCGACGGGTCAGCATAGAGAAAAGTCCATCAGAAGTACAGGAAAAGCCAAGTAGGATATTTAAGAGCAGTTTATCACTGTGCTGTGTTTCATAGGAGCTAGCAGTGTCAGTGATACAACTATTGAGCATATCCGAAGGGAAAAAGATGGGAGAAACTCCGACGTCGTTCCTCTCGATTTGCAGATTTTCCTGGTGAGTTAGCTCTTGTAGTTCGCACGTAGCACTGGAGATTTTTGTTTCTTTTTCATATTAAGCTGTGGGTTGTATTAGATGTGGTAGAGTGTTATGTCGTGTGAAGTGTGTATGTTATGAGTTAACTAGCCGCCTGGTTATATCGGCTATTTAGGCCTACATGCTGAGGAACGCCAAATAGTTATTGACTGTGATTCTGCTCAAGAATGTAATGACTCCTATGTGTTATTGTGTTAAAGTTGTGAATATGCACTGAGAAAAGGAAACCAATGTATAGTAAAATAAGTTAATGTTGTTTTCATAGGAAATATGTATGTTTTATTGTTATGTGAATTTGATATGGTTGACCTGGTTAATAATTGCTCTGCATATCTGTATGCAGGCTGGTTTTTCACCATTCTTCATCTGGGACTGTTTCAGTCAGCTGGATCGCTGTCATCAATCGTGGATGTGGTATCCCCGTCTGGACGATGTTCTGGATTCTGAGCCGTTCCAAGGGGCGGTAGGACTGATTTAAAGGAGACCGATTTGAACAAGAACTGATTTTTTTTTCTCCCACTATTATTCTTTACAATTTACAAGTCTTACTCCAAATACGGAGACAAACCCTACAGAGACACTCGAAGTAACTAAGTGGATTACAGCGTATGAATGACAGATATTTTATTTTTTCCTGTTTTTCATTTTTTTCTCTACATACCGTGCTCTATGCTAATGACTTATTTTGTCTTTTGTAAATCTGTCAATTTTACATTTGTTATAAATAGAAATTCTTTTGCAACTGATCACAGGTTGAGTGCGAGGGGATTTCTAGTGGGCTGGAAGTCGGATCGCTCATTGGGTAAAGTCACTGCTGCCAATCTCCTTGTAAGATCTAATGATTTAAGAGCAGTGGTGTAGATTTTGATGGCCGGGGCAAGACGTAGGTGTTGCCCAGGGTTACATGCTGATCTGGACCTAGCTTTCCACACTACCTCCTGAACTTCTTTCAGAAGCAGCTCCTTCAGATCAAATGCCACAACTGGCTCTGCTGGCCTTATTACCGCCTTACACTGCCCTAACTCGATGTAACCGGCGGGTTGGCCACGCCTACACTGCCTGGTTAGTAATTTGTCGGAATGATCATGGATATAAATAACGCTGTTGCGATAAGCAATTTCCGTGCTCGTCATTGCCGTAACTGGGTTGAAGTGAATCTTCCTCCATCAATCTGTGTCCTGCTTTCCTTTAAGACTGTTTTTGGAGATTGCTGCATGCTCTCCAGGAGCGATAATTGATGCGAGCGTGATCCAGTAGAAGTTGGCGTCCATCGCACATGCTGTGCCAGGGTGACGTGCAGCCAAGGGGTGATAGCCACTGCTGTTTTGCTTATGTAATGTTTTGCTTATGTAATGCTTTGCTTATGCAACATTGTGCCTTGCCTTGTTTGTTTTTATGTTGAGATTTACCTAGCATTATGTTCCCTATTTATTGTATCGTTTCCAAATAGGGTTTAGTCAATTTTATGGTGTGAACAGTGTGTGTGAATGGTTTTATGCACAGGGAGGCAAGGCCCTCTTATATTTGGTTGGTTGATGTGTGATTAATTGATTTGTGGTGTTTATTTAATGGTGCCTTTTAACCTGTTGACTCTGACCATTCTATTCCTGTTCTGCACTGTATTTATTGAGTGGGGGGAAACTCCTTCTTATAGGTAGCATTTTAGCTTCTGGGGCTAGGCTTCCTAAAATATTTTCACTGTTAAATTATACCTTGACTCAAATAAAGTTTTTTATCTGTGTGAGTAACTCTAACATCTTTGTGTTTGCAGATCTATCTGGGGGTAGCAGCTCAGTACTGGGGAAGTTTGCATGAATTTGACCTCAGAAAATAGGAGGGGTGTTATTCTTGGGGAACTACTAAAAGTTACTACGGTCTGAGTTGCCTAGGCCTGTATATTGGCCCGGTCACATCTAGGTCCTGGGAGAAGTCACTCAAGGTGTTATGGAGATATTGGTTGACTTCCTCTTTTGAACACACCAGGCATCGACTGTCTCTCTCTGAGGAGCTCCCTGATGAACCCAAATGGATTCTTAATGAAGGCAGTTCGTTTCCTAGCTCTCCTTCCTCTGTCTCCTGTGGACCTCAGCTCTGTGCAGGATTAGGATCCTCTTCCTCAATATGTTGTGGAGCGCTCAACTCAGCTGAACTTTATTTATATAGCACTTTACCACAGCCACAGCTGACCAAAGTGCTTAACATACAATACAAATCTAAAATCGTAACAACATAAAAATAAAAACAATAAAACATACATTTGGGTCCAATCAAGGGATTACCCAATCTGAAAGAGTCTCAATCCTGTCCAAACGCCAATGAGTATAAATAGGGCTTCAAATATGACTTAAAAATGGGCAACGAGGGGGCCTGCCTCATATAAAGAAGCAATGCATTCCACAAATTTGGACCCACCACAGCAAAAGCTCTATCCCCCGTAGTTTTCCATCTAGCCCTCAGTGCCTCCAGAAGAAGCTGTTCAGCTGATCTAAGGCACCGCAATGGATTATACGGACATAAAAGTTCTGTAAGATAAGAAGGTGCAAGCCCATTCAAGGACTAATAAACAAATAAAAGAATCTTAAAATGAATCCTAAAACGCACAGGAAGCTCTGCAAGAACTTCAGAAACAAACACTAGAGTGTTGTCACAAGTAAATTTCTCATTTTGGTAAAAAGCTTTTTACCTTTTAGCATCATGGGGCCCCCCCTGGGTGACCTCTGGAGCCTTATAACTCACTGAATTTGTTGTTGACTGGGGCATGTTTGTACTGAGTGGCACAAAAATAAACAAACAAAACAAATGCATGAATATCATCATCAAATAAATGCATGCATGCACATGCCTTTTTATGGCTCTGAGTACACTCAGTGACATAGTGCACTCCCTTGCCCTTTACCATCACAGGTAAATGTATAACTTCAGGCCTAAGCCTAATGCTAACTTAAACCCAAATCTGTGAGGACTGACTAAAATGCCATCACAACAATCGCAATGAACAAAAATTTGTCCACACAGTATAATGTTTCAGTAGTTTTGTTGATATTTGATGTGAAAAGTAACAAAACCTATTCAGCAAACAGCCATTAAAAATGAGCCTTTGTTCAAATGTTACTGCACTGTGACTTATTTCATGACCTATTCCAAAATGTTTGTCTTGTGGTTCTTGAAGTAGTTCACAGTGGATTTTAAAGTCTGCTTTTGATCATTGTCCTGTGGTAGAATCAGCCTCTTTTCAGTTTTAGATTTTGACTGACTGCATGACATTTTCATTGAGAATTGTTTGGTTTGGAAAAGTAACATGGCGCCCGCTGGCTGACGTGTTTGCCAACTCTGATATAGAATGTTGGCTTTTTTTTTTCTTTTTTGTGTTTTTTGCTTCCTGTGCAGTGCACAAATGTCATGCACTGCTAACATATAACAGACAGGCACTGCTGGACATCGCTAATCACAGCCCTTTGGAATTCGCCAGTTTTATACCACTGGAGCTGTGGCTCGCTGTTTGCGACCATCGTCACCCCCAGAAAGGCCCTGAAACACAGAGCCCGAGTGAGCCGGCTGATCCTAGGAGAGCAATCTGGAGACGGAGACACAAGCGCAGCAGGAGGGGAGGGCTCAGCTAAAGGCTTGCGCTAGCCGAACGCCGTTACCCAGCCTCCTGCTAGCGAACATACAGTCCCTGGAAAACAAACTGGACGAGCTGAGAGCCAGAATTACAACCCAGCGGGAAATAAGAGAGTGCTGCGATTTTGTTTTCACCAAGACCTGGCTGTCAGACAAAGTTCCAGAATCTGCCATCCAGCTACAGACACAGTCCATGCATCAAGCAGATCGTACGCTCACATGAACTTACAAATGAGCACACGAACAGGTCACATAAGGCTGAAGTTATGCCCCAGTTATATAAAGCTCTTTTAACTCTAGCTCTAAATGTACTGTTTGTATATAATCTACCCACTCTAATAGTATTCTACTACATAGTCCATATTAACTTTTAACTTAAACCACTACATTAGACTCTGTTAAGACCAAAGGGGGAGGCGTGTGTGTGTTCATCAAAATATTCGTGGTGTGGAGATGTACAGACTGTCCACAAGCACTGTTCACCAGAAGAGGAGTTCTTATTACTGAAGTGCCATCCCTACTATTTACCTGTCATGATTCGGTTCCACTGCTTCCCGTCTGGCTTTTATTTTGACGTTACTTCCTGTTTTTGTTTCACCTTAGTTTCGGTCTTTTTACGTTCTTCATCACTCACATTAGTTTCACCTGCTTCGTTATTGTTTGCACCTGTTTGCACCTCTATTTAGGCAGCGTCCTCCCACAAGGATGCTGCCAGATTGTTCTAGACCCCAGCTTCGGTGTTGGTATTTTTGTGTTTCTGACCCGGACTGTTTCTTTGGACTATTCTGTTCTGCCTTGCCCTCAAACTCGGACTGCTTCTATGTGTATCGGCTTATTGGACTTTCCCTTCGGACTACGCATTTTGGATTCCACTGGATGTATGTGTTTGCTGGCTCTGATCTCGGACTGTTATACCGTGAGTTTTGTGTTGCACTGTGTCTTGTATGGTTTTTGTTTAGCGTTAGCACTCTTATTAAAGAGGGTTTTTGTTCATCACTTCGTCTGGCCGTTTAATTGAGTTCACTAAACACTTTTCGGCAGCATAACGCGCCGATTCATGACATTTACCAAGAGAATTCAGCAGTGTGTTCCTGGCTAGCGTGTATGTCTGTCAGTCCAAGAGCTAATCCCACAGCTGCTCTTAACAATCTCTATGATGTCATCAGTGCGCTAGAGACAGCTCACCCTGATGCTGTCTTTATCGTCGCTGGCAACTTTAACCAGTGCAATCTACGGACTGTACTTCCCAAATAATACCAACATGTGGACATTCCCACCCATGGTAAGAATACACTAGATCATGTTTACAGTAACATATGTGGTGCATATAGGGCTGCACCCCACCCCCACTTCGGGCACTTGGACCACATTTCTTTGTTCCTGTATCCAGCCTACAGACAAAGACTGAAACAAGCAAACCCTGTCACCAAACAAGTTAAACTCTGGACCCCAGAGACTGAAGGCATCCTGCAGGACTTTTTTGCCTGGACAGACTGGGATGTGTTTAAAGCTGCTGCCACCTCAGAGGACTTTTCTCTCAGCGTACAAGTCTATGCCGAGTATGTGACCGGGTACATTAGTACC